AAGACTTTCTGTGAGATGGTGAAATCAAACAAGCTCTGTGAAAAGAAGCTGTTTGTGCAGTTCTGCTGTCAGACGTGTCTTATGGCCGGGTAAAGTTCAGCGGCTGCATCCATCCAGGACTTCCACTGACTGCCAGCCCAGTTTTGCCAAATGTTTAGGACAAAAGTTTATTTTTTCAGCTTTGGGAGAGTTTACATGGTGCTGTCAAGCATTCGCTCGTAAGTTTGATAGCTTTAATATCACTGTCGGCGCGTTTCTATAGCAATATGTTAAGCAGAGATTGGAGCGTACCCTGAGTGATCAAGGCCTGGAAGCAGCAGACAAGTGGTGATATTAACACTCTCAAACACTCCTGGTGAGCAGGGACCAATGCATGATCCACGTACACACACTTGGTTCTTCGCAGAAATCCCACTGATCCGCCCGCTCCGAGCGGCCGGCGGGAGCCCTCGCCACGAGGGAGGCAGAACTTCACACACCTGCGAGGAAAGAGCCGATTCTGGCTCATTTTTGGTACCCTTTTGTGCCAGGTGCCAGCTGATCTAGCCCTGCACTGCCAGCGCCGTGCTCTGTACATAGGTAAAACGATGAACCAGGCGGCTCCGGAGCGGGGCCCGCAGCCCACTCCGGCTCTCCTGTTCGGATTCCGTCGGTCACCGCTTCCCTCTGGCCGTGGCAATAACTGGAGGTTTGAGGACCAAAGCCAGAGCTGCCCCACGTGGCTCTGCAGGTGTGTCAGCCCAGCAGGGCTTTGCCCTGCAGGTAACTGCAGCCAGGCAAAACCCGTGTGCGTGCCTACAAGGAGTCGCAGGGTTTTGGGGGGGGTGTTGTCCACACAGACCAGCCTTACCACGAAATGTATTTCCCTTATTTCCCTCCTGGAACTGCTTGTACATTGCTGATCAAGTCAGTTCTGGAACAAGCTAAATTCTTCCTCTAAACGAGATGTTGCCCCAATTAATCTTTCTTGGCATTTTGCGTTACGATCCTCCCCCTGTTTTGCTGGGTACACCCCTCTCTCTCTCTCACAAAATCCTCCTGTTCATGGCAGTGATTTTTCTTGGGCATCTATTTCCCAAATGAGACATTCCAAGGATCCAGCCAGGAAACTTAATTCTACAAAACCCTTCCCCGAAACAAACCTTTTCATGCTCTCTCTTAATAGTAAGTCACGTGGTGTTTATATAATTGTGTTTAAAATATCCTTGGCTATGTTGTTTTACAGATTTTTAAAAAATAACTTATACAATCCTTGTTTTTTTTTCTCTGTGGACTATTTTTTATATGGGAGTGGGGTATCTTTTTGTGTCTTATTCCTTCTCCTTTTTTTCTCTCTGACCCTGCAAAGCCACTCTTTGCACCAGACATATGTAAACACTCTTTCCTATGCTGCATGTTCTGATTTTCATTGTTAATAGTTTTAATGAGTTAAACCTTTCTCCAGTGAAATTCCCAGTATGAATTGTCACCAGTTCCACACAGAGCTGGGATAATCCCTGCTTGGTTTCAGCTGCAACGACACCTGCCCTGCCTGGGCTTGCCCACGAGAGCTCACCTCAGCCAGGTGAGGAGGGGAAAGCCACACTGTCTCCAGCCCTCACCTGCCTGGACCAAATCCAAGGAAAGATGGAGCTTTGGTGAACTGATCTTTAAGTTAATAAACTATTGATCTCCCCTGACACACGAATCTGTGCTTTTTCCAAATTCATGCAGCCCTGACTGGAGGAACTGCACGTCCTCACTTTGCTGGACAGATCAGCTCCCCTGGCTGGAGCTCCTGCTCAGCTCAGAGCACCTGTGGGAGAAATGCTCAGGAACAGATGAGCTGCATCTGCAAAAACCTCACTGTTGTTGTTGTAAAGGTCTTTTACCTCCACAAGGAACTCAAATCCCGAGTACTTGCCCTGTGCCAGGCTGGGCTGGTGCACCAGGGCCCTCTTACTGGGGTTTGGGGCTGTGCTGGGGCACGGGTGGGTGAATTCTCCAGTGTGGGGGATCCTGGGTGAGCTGGCAGAAGGGCTTGCTCCCCTCATACACTCATACAAGGAGCATCCTGAGCACCCCAGTTTCCAGCACGGGGCCACTGCTCCCTGTTGGCTGTCTGGGAGGGAGAGGAGCTGCTGGTGTGGCTGGGCATGGAGGGAGCTGTGGAATCCTTTGTTTGTTGTGTTGGTTTTGCAACAACCATGGGCCAAGTGCCCATATCTGGAACTGAGCTTTTCAAGTGGGGGAAAAAAGAGATGATTTCTCAGAGATATGCAGCTGTGGGCTCCTGCATTTTGTTGGTCTTCACATTCATCAGATGATAAATGTGAATTAATCACATACAACAATTCCTTTTGCTGCAGGATTTCCCTTTCACTCTCAGGCCAAACCAGAGGTCAGAACGGGAGTGACACACTCCTGGCTTCTGCCCCTTTGGAAAATACTTTTGTGGAAAATACCAAACTTCATTTCTCCTGCTGTGTTAGTGAGAAAACAGGAGCTGTGGATCAGGAGAACTGTGCCAGCCTTCCAGTTCTCTGGCTCACAGCAGCCTGCCTCTAAATACTGCTCCCTGGTATATTTAGATGTACTGAAATGCTACAAAGAAAGCAAAATGCTTACTCTTACATCTTGACACCACTTAAAATACACACTGGGGAAGGCAATGCAATTTAAGATGACCAGTCCCCAGCAGTCCCAGCTCTATCCTGCTTTCTGCTGCCTTCCAGCCTGCCAGGGAAAGAAAAACAAATTCTGCACATTGAGTTCATGCAACAACATCAGCTTCCAGCGTTTCCCTCAGAAATCATTCTTGTAAAGTAATAAAATTCAGATTATTTCTCCAAACTGTTGCAATACTTGCTTGGAGCTATTAAAGTCTGACTGGTATGCTCAGAGGATCAAAGTGGCTGTGTCTTCCAGATAAATGCATATTTAGGCAATTTATTAAAGCTCATTTCTCTGTTGTCTCTTGGCACCAAAGCCAAATCTATAATAGCTGTTTTCTGGAAAATCTTAGCACAGCCTGAGTCCTCGTTTGCAGTTTGGCCGTGGGGCTGCAGCCACGGCCATCTGCCATTGTGCAGTTGGCAGGTGGGGAGCACAGATCTTAAAAATCATTGCTTTGAGTTTCCACTGCAAAGAAAGGACTGTGGAGAGCTTGTGTGCAGTGCCTGAGACCCAGAATCCATCTGCTCGCAATTACAATTCTATTGTGGATGCAGAGCTGAGGCAAACATGTATTGTGCTAAGGGAGACAGGTCCATGCTTTATTTGGCCTTGTCAGAGGCAGGACCTGCTTTCCAGGAGGCTGGAAAGAGTCTCCTTGCAAGAACTGCCTGAAATGACTAAAGTCTCTGTTGTCTTTAACGCTGCATGATGCCTGAGTCACGTACAGCTAATTCTCGGGTTTTTCCTTGTGACAGCTCCCTCTTGTTCCTGCTCCCTCCTATGTTATAAAACAAATGCAGCTGTTATAAAAACCTGACTCTGTGCTTTCCCATACGGCTTTGGTGAGGGAGTTTTCCCAGCAGGGAGCACAGGAGCTGCCTGAGCCCAGCTGATCCCTGGCAGGGCCAGCTCTGACGCTGGGGACAGGCAGGCGTCGTGCCCGGGGTGATGCCCTGAGAAGCTCCCAAAAGAAAAGCACGAGCCATCCCTGAGCAGCGCCAAGCGTGGCAGCACTGTTTAGCCTGTTATCACATCCTCTGGGTTCACAGAAATGTCATGGCTCACAAAAAATATCCTTCCCTCGATAGCAGCGCAGACAGAAATCACCCTTCCTCATCCTGCTTCATGGCATTGAAGGCCTGGGAAGGATTTCCCCAGAAGCAATGGTGACATTCAGCAGATTTTGGGGGTCTGGGGGTGTCCCTTGATGTGCCACTTTCAGTCCAGCCACCTGCAGTGTGGCTCACCCCCCAGCTGAGCCCTTCCCTGTGGTGCCAGGCAGTGCCCCAGCCTCAGACCAGGATCTGGGGGAGCTCCTGGCCAGCCACAGCAGCCAGAGCCACCTCAGCTCCACTCCCAGCCCTTCCTTGCTGTTCCCCAAATTCCCAAAGCCGGTTAGGGGGATGCAGTGACATTTGCAAGCACGTTTTGTCTCACAGATAAAGGGCGTGCGTGGTGCTGCAGCCCGTGGGGCGTTCCCAGCACCTCAGACCAGGAATGCACATGGAAGTGGCAGAGAAACTGCCCCAAAAGCTGCAGGGGGAAGGTGCTTGTGGGCAGCACAATGTCCAGGAGCAAAGGCTGAGCTGCTGCTGGGGGGGACGGAAAGCGCCGAGAGCTGAAGGTGCCCTGGGGAGCAGCAAGTGCTTGAGCACGGCTCTGCCTGAAGGGAAGCACCAGCCATGGCATGGAGCGTGATTCTGCTCTGCCTGGATTCCTGCAGAGAAATCTGTGCCTGAAGGACCAGAAGGCAAGGAGGGAACCTCTGGGGGCACCTGTGCTGACAGCGAAGCCAAAAGCTCCCTGCTGGGTTTGGGAGCCATGGCTCAGGCGTGGGGCTGGGAGCTGGCCCTGAGGGGGGAGCACAGGGATGGGGTGCTGGGGCTGTATCGGTCCCTCAGGAGAAGGGGAGCACAAGGATGGGGTGCTGGGGCGGTATTGGCACTGAGGAGAAGGGGAGCACAGGGATGGGATGTTGGGGCTCTATCGGTCCCTCAGGAGAAGGGGAGCACAGGGATGGGGTGCTGAGGCTGTATTGGTCCCTGAGGAGAAGGGGAGCACAGGGATGGGGTGCTGAGGCTGTATTGGCACTGAGAAGAGGAGCACAGGGATGGGGCGCTGGGGCTGTATTGGCACTGAGGAGAAGGGCAATGCAGGGATGGGGTGCTGGGGCTGTATTGGCACTGAGGAGAAGAGGAGCACAAGGATGGGGCGCTGGGGCTGTACCGGTCCCTGAGGGAGGGGACGCAGGGATGGCGCGGAGGGGGGCGGTCTCTGCCGTTCGCTGTCTCGGCGCTCGGCTGCCCGGCCTGTGCGTGCTCGGCGCTCGGCGCGGTGTCCTGCGGCGGCGCGGCCTGTGGCGGAGTGTGGCCGTGTGTCCCGGTGTGTCCCGGTGTATCCCGGTGTATCCCGGTGTATCCCGTTGTATCGCCGTGTGTCGCGATGGTGAAGCTCACGGCGGAGCTGATCGAGCAGGCGGCACAGTACACCAACGCCGTCCGCGACCGGGAGCTCGACCTGCGCGGTGCGCGGGCCCCGCGGGGCGGGAGGGGCTGTGCTGGGAAGGGAGGGCCGAGGGCCCAGGGCTGAGGGCTGGGGGTGTGGGGGGTGTGTGGTGGGGCCTGGCGGTGGGGCCTGGCGCCTTCCGCGGCCGGAGGTGCCGAGGCAGCACAGGGAGGGTGTTGGAGGAGCTGCGGTGGCCGGGGGCTGGGGATGAGGAGCGCTTAAAGAGGCTCCCCTGGCTTTGTAACCTGCGGGGCACGTGAGGGGCTGAATCACAGAGTGGTAGAACGGTTTAGGATGCAAGGAACCTAAAATCATCTCGTCCCGAGCACCAAGAAGGGGAAACTGCGGGAAATGTGGGAGGAACGTGCTGCGGTGGTGGGGTGGGATGTGCCCCTGCACGAGGGATGTGCCAGAAAGGTGCGTTTGGCTCGGAGGACACCTCCAGGGACCTGGGGTTTTGCTGAGGGGGAGGGAGGAGGATTCCAAAAGCCACGAGGGCTGTTGGGTTTGAGGGGCAGGGTTTGGTCTGGGAGCTGTGTGGGGCAGAGTCGGTCCCGAGGTGTTTTGTCTGAGCCTTATCAGCATCCCCAGTCCATCCCGATTTGCCCCCACACACTCTCTGCTCTGCTCTGCTCGGGCACCATCCAACCCCTGCCCTCTCTCTCTCTCTCTCCAGGCTATAAAATCCCTGTCATTGAGAACTTGGGGGCCACTCTGGACCAGTTTGATGCCATCGATTTCTCTGACAACGAGATCCGCAAGCTGGACGGGTTCCCCCTGCTGCGGAGGCTGAAAACGCTCCTCATGAACAACAACAGGATTTGGTGAGGGGCTCTGCTTCGGCCTGGTGGGACCCTGGGCGGAGGAAAATGCTCTAGGGAGAGAGGTGTGGGTGCCTTTCAGTGCTGGCAGGGGCAGGAGTGTTTGTTTCAGGCAGTAGAATCAGCACTGTGGGCTCTCTTTCAGTGTCCTCCCTCATTCAGTGCAAAAGTCAGTGTTTGCTTCTCAGCCAGGACAGGGAGATGCAGAGTTTGGGATCTGGTCATGTCTTTGGATTTCAGTAATCATCTCCATAAAGACACAAAAAAAAGGGATTCCTGTAAGGGGATGGATCTGAATCTCATATTGCACCGAGTATTTGCAGTGATTTATTGCCAGCTTTGTTTGAAAAGTGTTTTGGATGCTCACCCAAACTTCTGCCAGTGCCAGACTGGGTTGTTCACAGGGGGATCCTCTGTGTTGCTGTTTCTCTGTGTATTTCCACCGTTGCTAATTCCTGCCCTAAATGAAACCTTTGTTTTCTGCTGTTCTTCAGTCGCATTGGTGAGAACCTGGAGCAGGCTCTGCCCAGCCTCACAGAGCTCATCCTCACCAACAACAACATTGCTGAGCTGGTAAGCTGTCGTGCAGGATAAAGCTAAACAAGCTTAAAATTTGTGGCTTTCATCCCTCTAATTAACCATTTCCCTGAGAGTAGTGCCATATCCTTTTGGCAATAGTTGGTTCTTTCTCTTTAGAGTAATATCCTACAGTTTTGGCTTGTGGTGTGCATCCTTTAATGAACATGACTGGCATCATGCAGTGGAACAGCAGTCACAAAGTTTAGTGGTTTTCCTATTAAAATAATTGTAATTGAATTAATCTCTAAAATAGTTACGAGTTCAGGAGCTTTGTTTTCAAATATTTGATTTTTTTGCTAAAGGGGCTTAAAATTTCTTGCTGTGCTCCCTTTACCCAGGGTGAACTGGATCCATTATCAACAATTAAATCATTGACTTACCTGAGGTATGTAACCCCACAAAGAAAAGCTGCTCTTTCTCTGGTGTTTGAACTCTGCTGCTGGCCTGGCCCTTTGCTTTGGTCTGGGATGCTGCTTTTTGTGAGCTGTGACAGATCCTTTATGTCTAAAAATTGAATTGATAAGCAGTGTTTGCTCTACTCTTAACGAGCATCTGGTAATTAATGTCTGAGGTTTTATATCACTGACAGGCTGTTGGGATAATGAGATCTAACATCTCCAGAAACCAATACACAAGTGCTGAAGGGAACTTAACCTTCAAAAACCTAAAACCAAAAGGTTTAATCTGTTGATAAAAAATAGTTTAAAATACATGTAAACAAGGACTTTTCAGTAGTATTACATTTGGTGTGAGGGACACAAAGAAACACACTTTGTCCTGTGATTTTTCAGTTGATCAGTGTCCAGATAGGAAAAGTGATGTTGCAGTTATTTTGGGGAAGTATTATGATTATTTTGAGGTTGTTCTTTATGTCATCCTTCAGTTAAATCTACTGAATTGCTGAAGTGCAAGTTTTTATTACAGTGTCCATTATATCAAAGCACTGTCACTAAGCTTATTTCATGGTGTTATTTGTTACCTGTTACAGCAGGAAGTACATGAATGCATTTCAAATATATTAATATATTTCAATACAAACGTGTTTTAAAATATTTTGTAACCTTTATTTACTTCACAGCGTTCTGAGGAATCCTGTAACAAATAAGAAACATTACAGATTATATCTAATTCATAAAGTTCCCCAGGTCAGAGTGCTGGATTTTCAAAAAGTGAAGCTCAAAGTAAGTCTGCTTGCTTTTGATTTAGGTGGTTGGGTTTTTTTTTTTATTGGGCTTTTTTGTGGGGGGATTTATGTTGTGCTTTTTTTTTTGTTTTGGGTTTTTGGTTGGTTGGTTTTGGGTGGGTGGGATTTTTTTTTTGTTTTTGTTTTGTTTTTGGTGTTTGTGGGTTTGGTTTTTTTGGGATTTTTTTGCATTCTTGAAAATTCACCACTAACAGCGACCTTGTTGTCATAGCTGTCAATTTTACTGAAACTCTGTACGTGGCTCTACAACGCTCTCATTGTTTTCTTTCATGCTTTCATTCTGTTAAGGAATATAATCTGTTTAATTATGTTTAATTATGTTTCAGTGCCTTTGTTTAGTGTTACTCTTTCCTGTCCCTCTGGTGTTGGGAGGAGACACCTAGAGAAAGAAACGAGCAAACACCACAGCCCTGAGCTCTGGGTGGGGGATGAGTGTGGGAAAGAGCTCTTCATTTTAAGAGCACGAGGTTGATAAATCTCTGAGCATTTGGGCAATGTTTATCTGCTTGTTCTCACATCTGGTCTCCATGTACCAATTTCACTGATGAGGATGAACCAAAGTGTCTTTCTTGGCCGAGACAGAAGCTTTGCAGACTGTGATGTTCTCAAATTAACTTTGTGTGTGTGTGTGGTATCGCTGTAGGATCGACAGGAGGCAGAGAAAATGTTCAAGGGCAAACGGGGTGCACAGCTTGCAAAGGATATTGCCAGGAGAGCAAAAACGTAAGATAAAACAAACAAATTTACACTGGCATCCTCCTTCAGAAACACCACTTGCTTTGTGTGCAGTATCAGGCAGAAAACTGAAATATCAGCTGCTGGCAGGGTGCCTCAAAAGCTTTGGGAGCCACAGGTGCCTTGTCCAAGCACCACGAGTTTTGGATGGTGGTGAATACATCTCAGAAGTATTTCTGAAAGAGCTGGCTTGGTCAAGGTGGATTCACTGAAGTCAACAAGCAGGAAACCTTTATTTTATGTTTGTTATTTAACTGCAGAGAGGTGGTCATTATTTAATTTGTGGTTGGTGGGGTTTTTCTCCTAGATGATTTGTTTTGTTATTTCCCAAAATAAATAATTTTGTATTTATTTTGGGAATAAACTGCACAATCTTCTGTAGGTAGATGAAATACAAATGAAAATCTTTAATTAAGCTATTAAAGTATATATTTATTTTGTTTAATTGTTAAGTGGTACATCACATGTTTTGATCAACCTATTTGATAATAAGAATTCACATCACAGCATTTCCAAATTCATGGTTAAGTAGAAAAATGTCTTGAACTTATTTAGCATTTAAGCCTGTAATAGATGGATTTGAGCTCGAGTTTGTGAGGGGAAAGGGATTCAGGTCAGGTGATCTCCTTAAAGCAGCAGCAGCAGATAACCTTTATCTTTTGACTGTTAAGATGATTCCAGTTTAATGTAGGCTTTACTTTAGGCTGCTGTAATACCACATTTGACACGTGGGAACAGAAACCCCATTTTCAGTTATTCTTTATTTATCCACCCTGCTTTTGTAATGGCAGCAGAGCAGCTGAGTGTTCAGCAACATCCAAATTGAAGAGCTTTTGTCAACTGCCTGATGAATAAAGTTAAGTTCTGCCTCTGAGCAGATGAAAAGGTGGGGGGAATGGGACAGTGAGGACAAGGTGCTGGTGTTTCTGAAGGAGGCAGTTCTTCACTGTATCAGTTTGTTAACAAAGATAAGATACTACACTTGATGGAATGAAATGCTTTCAAACCCAGTTTGGAAACATTTCAAGTTAAGAGAAGCAGCTACTCTTCAAAAAGTGTAACAGGTCTTTTTTTTTTTATTTTTTTCCTTTTGAAGCTTCAATCCAGGGGCTGGTCTGCCAACAGACAAAAAGAAAACTGGGCCCTCTCCAGGGGACGTGGAGGCAATTAAGGTAAACATGTCAGGAGAAAAGCTGTCATGGATCCAAACTGAACAAAAGTTTCCTTTGTGCTTTCCTCAGACAAATAGATCAGGCAGTCCTGGCTCTGGTTTAGCTTCTTTTTCTGTAAGTTTTTCTTCTGACCTGTCTCTATTTTGAAAACTTCAATGAAATGTCAACCTGAGCTTAGAGTCCTTCCAGTGCAGGGCGAGGTAATGATTTGTCATTTGTAGAATTTTCTAGAACCAGAATTTAGCAGAACTTTCCTAGGTGTTCAGTGTCCCTGAGCTGGCAGAAACGCGGGTTGTGTGTTGCTGTGAGGACTGACCGAGCTCTCTGTTTCTCAGGCTGCCATCGCCAACGCCTCGACCCTGGCGGAGGTGGAGCGGCTGAAGGGATTGCTGCAGGCGGGACAGATCCCCGGCAGGGAGCGCAAACCAGGTCACTCTGCCTTTGCTGCTCCCCCTAAACACAGCCCAGCTCTCTCCCTGCTCCCCGCTGCCGTGTGTGGTCTCTGTTTGTCACCTGTGCAGCACATCCCTGGCTCCGTCATGTGCCTGGCCTTGGGTGCAGCTCCGGGCTGTCCCCGGCTCTCCCTGCAGAGCCAGGTGCCAAACGAGGTGCTCCAGAGTTCATCCCAGTTATTTAACAAAATTAGATTAATTACAGTCTCTCTGGCCTCTGCTGAGCAGCAGTGCCTCAGCAATGAGCCTGGCAGCTCAGCAGAGGTGGATCTCAGCTGCAGGCTGGCCATAGCACCAGCTTCCGATTATCCTTTCTGTAGAGTTCTTAAACCTTCCCGTTATTACTCTTCCGGAGAGGGGTGGGAAAAGGAACAGCAACGTCAGCAGCAGCTGCCCTAAAACTCTGACGTGTCCTTTCAGGCCCATCGGAGGACGGCGAAGAAGAAATGGAAGAGGATACAGTGCCAAACGGATCGTAGCCCGGGCCGTGCTCCCCAGGAGCCCTTTGCCGTGCCGTGCCGTGCCGGTGTCCCCGGCAGGGCGCACCGCCCCCGTCCTCGCGCATTTCGCTGTTCAATAAACGAACGGTCCCTTTTTCTCCCGCTGCTGCCGCATCCGCTTCCCGGCCGGGGCGGGGCGGGACGGAAGGCGCTTCGGCGCACCCTGATTGGCTGCCTTGTGCTTGCCCCCTTCTCTCATTGGCCGGCGCAGCCATACGTGACTCCGGGCACTCTGCCAGTGGTGGCGCGGCGCTTCCTGCCGGTGGCGGACGGGGCGGTGATTGGCGGAGAGGGGCGGGCCCGGACGTGAGGCGGCGGCGGACGGGGCGGTGATTGGCGGAGAGGGGCGGGCCCGGACGTGAGGCGGCGGCGGACGGGGCGGTGATTGGCGGAGAGGGGCGGGCCCGGACGTGAGGCGGCGGCGGACGGGGCGGTGATTGGCGGAGCGGGGCGGGCCCGGACGTGAGGCGGCGGCGGACGGGGCGGTGATTGGCGGAGCGGGGCGGGCCGGGCCCGGGCCGGCGCTGGGCCGGGGCGGGCTGGAGGCGCTGCAGCACACGGGTGAGGGGCCGCGGGCCGGGGGCCGGGGGTGAGGGCGGGGCCGAGGCGCGGCGGGGCCGCTCCCCCGCCCGGGTGGGCTCCTCGCCGTGCGGCCCGCGCTCACCCCCGGCCTGTCCCCGTGGCAGTGGGCTCGGTGCTGTCCAGCTACGGCTGGTACGTGCTGCTGGCCGCCGTCGCCGTGTACCTCCTCGTGCAGAAGGTGTCCCGCAGCCTGGCGGCGCGGCCGAGCGGCCGGCCCGGAGCGGCGGAGGCGGCGGAGGGTGAGTACCGGGCGCTGCGGGTCCCCCGGGCTCCTGCCGGGACCCTCGGCCGAGGGGCTCGGGAGGCGCCGAGGGTGGGAGTGGAGAGCCGTGCTCGGGGAACCGTCCAGCCCGCAGATGCCGAGCCTGAGCAGATACCGGGGAAGGCTGGGCCGAGGGAAGCGTTTGTGAGAGGCTCCGAAGGAGAAGCCGTGTCCCGAAGTGACGCGTTTGGGATGGAGGAGCGGTGATGTCCCATCCCCGGGCTGGCTGCTCTCGCTGGGCAGGAGCCGAGGGCACGGGGCCGGCACGCCACCAAATAACTGTTTACCGAACAAGGCCAAAACGCCCGAATCTAAATCCTGGAGAAAATACTTCTGTTAATACTCACTTTCTATGGATATTCATCACCCCTTCCAGCTCCTCTTTCCCAGTTCCTGCTGTGGCAGGGCTGTGTACCTTTGGGGTGTGCCAGTCTGTTATCTTTGGGAGCGTGGCACAGGTTGTAAATCTCACCCAGTCACCATCCTGCTGAAAAGCACAGGCTGTGCTCCTGGACCTGCCAAATCCATCAGTGCTTGGCACTGATCCCTCGGCCCCACAGTCAAATCTTAGTTGTGTGCTCTTATCCTCCTGCTGTTCTTTTGTGATGGTAATTAAATGGCTATTTCATTGCCCAAACTGCCTGCAAAATGAAATTATTGAAAGTAATGACATTTCTTTTTCATATTCATCACTGGTTCATAGCAAAAAATGAGGCAAACAAATGTGGAGATGCTTCAGCTGCTGGAAGAAAACAGAGCAACACTGGGCTTTTTTGGGGGGTATAATTTTCCTTTTGACCTTCACAGGTCAGTCATGAAGAGCAGTGGTGACTCAGTGTGGATTTTCTGAGACCTCCAGGTGTCTCTTGAGATGTGTGTCATGTTTGTAAGCGATTTCTCTGCTGATGGAGGGAGTTACATCCACTGCTGCACTGACACCAGCAGGACCCATTGCCAGAAGGAGTAGGAGTGAATGTGGGCTGGTTGCCTCATCCTTCTGCGTAAAAGAAGTTCTCTGGGTAAAAATGGTCCCTGCGAAGCCTGGGTGATATTTCTGAATTAATTTGTATCTAACAAATCCTTCAGAAATAGAAAGAAGTGTCCTTGAAGTGTGAGGTTTAAATTTTATGGTTAGGTGCACTTGTGTCCTTATTAAAATCCTGTTGAAGTAATTGATTTAAAATAGTAAAGCATGATGTAGTTTAATTCAGCTTTATAAATTACTAGAAAATATTATCTGGAAACTAAACTTAAATTGTGATTTTCTGCAAAACAGCTGCAGGGAGAGAAGTGAGCTTTCTTTATTACAGTTCTTTGAGGAGACCATCTAGGATTATCTTTGAGCAGCTTTTCAAACTCTTCCCTGCTTTCCTAGAGCCTGATGTGGTGGTAAGAAGGCAGGAAGCTTTGGCAGCAGCTCGCCTCAGGATGCAGGAGGAATTGAATGCACAAGCAGAAAAATACAAAGAAAAGCAAAAACAGGTAACCAGAGAGCATTTCTTCCTTTAACTGATACATTTGTCATCAAGACCTTTGCTGCTCTAAAAGACAGCAGCAGATTGTAATTGTGGGCCTGGTGTTCATTTTTTCACAGGCAGATCTGTGCCTGCAGGAGCTTTGCTGTGTGTGCAGGGAATGGCTGGAGGGGTTTTGCTGGCATTTAAATTAACTGTACCATGGAACACGTTTGTTTTCTGCTCTCAAAGGCAAATTTAAGTGTTAGAAATGTTTAAGGGTCTGAATTACAGCTTGAGATCGTGAGGAATAGCAAACTGCTGAATGGGGCAGTGCAGAAAATGGGTGTGATCAGCCCAGTGATAACTCTGATCATTATCCCACCTCTTCTGGTTTTGCTTTTGCAGTCAGACCTCGGTTTGTAGCTGATGCTTCAAGTAATGTTGGCAGTTAAAAACAAAGGAAAAGCTCTTTTTTTTCTTCTGTAGAACCCCATGTTGTGCATTAAATTACTGCAATATTCTTTACTTAGTACTTTTTATAGTACTAAGGGTTTATAGTACTAAGGGTTTATAGTACTTTCAGGGTTTAAACTTGCCACTTAATTCTGTTGTACCTTGAAAATCTTTTAAAGCATCAAGTGGCCAGAAGAAGCTGCAGGCTCAGTCAGTGCATCCTGAGGAGGAGGAGAGATGTGGCTCTATAAAAAGAGTAAATTCTTCCATAACCTCAGAGATGGTGCATCAGATAAATACAGTGTGACAAATCTGTGGTAGCTGTTTCTGGGGATTCTCTTAGCTCTGACATCCTGGTTTTAAGGTTAAAGCTAAGATTACACCTGGATTTGTTCTGTAGCTGGAGGAGGAGCGGCGGAGGCAGAAGATCGCCATGTGGGAGAGCATGCAGGAAGGGAAGAGCTACAAAGGAAACCTCAAACTGAATCAGGTAACAGCCATGTTCATCGGGTCACAGCTGTGCTCCTGTGATTAAGGGAGCTGAAATTCCTGTGGAGTAACTTTTTGCTTTTCTGAACAGCAAGAAGTAGAACCTGGTGCCTCGGCCTCAGCAGTCCCGAAATCGAAACCGAACAAAAAGCCCTTGAGAGGAGGTGGTGAGTATGGAGCCCTTCAGACACTCTGAGCTTGGAACAGGGCATTTATCCAGCTCTGTATGGACTCTGTACACACTTTTTGTCTTTTTCAAGGAGGAAACAAAACGTTCCTTACAAACAAGCTCTTTGTCTCTGCTCAGCTGGTCTGCTCTGTCCTCTGTGCAGAAGCTGGCAGGAAGTTTTGGGAGTGCTTTTCCCTGGGAAAAGAACGTGTCAGGGTTTTTGTAAATATGTTTTGGCATAATTTACTGGGATTTTTGTCACTCAGAATTACAGATTCTTGCAGTAGTTCTGGGATCCTTCCCCCATTATTCTGTAAGTTCAATAATTTAGTGTCTGGTCTCTTGTCTTTAAAGCACCTGTAGTACTGGGTAAATGCAGGAAGAGGGTATTTCCCTTTGTATTATGTAGATTCAGATGATGAAAGAAATTATTATATAAAATGTGACCTCATTTTTCATATACCACAGTGCTGACCTATTGAATAAATGAATCCTGCAGATGTATCAATCTTACCAACTCTCACAAAACACCAGAAGGTCTCACTGTTAAACTCAGTCACTTGCTTGGAGCCATGTGGATGGATGGAGTGCTTTCTGTGGCCTCACATTGCCCATGCCAGGCTCACTGGCCATGCAGGCAGTCTGCTTCCTCTCCTGTCAGCCCAAGAGCCCTTGCCATACCTGCAGGTGCTCATTTTGTGTATTTTAATGGCAATGTTCTGTGGTGGAGTGGATCATCCAGACAGCCTCAATCAGGCTGAAAAGGAGCCCCACTTAGGGTGCAGTGCTTGGTGACTTGATTAAATGTATGAGACTTGTGGATTCTTGATTAAACATACTAAACCTCAGTGACAGTGCAGTGCTGGGATTTCTGCTTTGAGTATTTTCCCTGGCATTTGAGGGAATCAAATAGATTGATTCATCTGAGGTGGTTTAATAGGAGGGTGTGATGTCTGGTGCTGTCAGCTATCTTTGGTATCTCTGTCATGGGATATTTACCTCCCTGGGGATGAGTGAGGAGTGCAGGGGTCAGCTGTGCTGAGGGCCAGGATCAGGGCAGCTGGGTTTGGGCACCTTTCCAGCTGCTACCTGTCCCAGTTTAATCCTCTGCAAAGTCCTTGCTTAAGTAACCCATTACAGCATTAGAGGTCTCAGATCTTCTCCTGAGGTAGATCAGCATGAAGTGAAAGAACCATCTGTGCTGCTCAGTTAAGCTAGAAAGCAAAACTTGGCTGGTATGAGAAAAAACAAATTTCAAAGATGAAGGTGATGCTGGGAGTTTCAGTGAAACAGCTTGCTTAGAAACCCCCCTGGTTAGCAGTGCCACTAGGATTTGGGTTCTTAGGTTTGTGCAGAACAAACTGAAGATGTTTGCCACGTTGTAACTTTCTGAGTGTGTTCTCCTGAGATGAAGCTTCCCATGGTTACAGCGTCAGGATGTTCAGCTAAAGTGCATTTGCCTTACTGCCTATGCTTGCCTTTCAAATGCTCTAAAAAATACTTGGCAGTGTTGATGAGTGGATTTACCTCTTGACCTTCAGAGTATTCCTTGCAGGACTGGAATAACTGATTGTTTTAAGTCCCTGACTGTTGGGGCTCTTGCAGAGCAGATACACTCTGCAGAGTTTGCTCTAGAGCTGCTGTTGCTGCTCTGTTTATCTTGCAGAGCAGCACTGCAGCTTTAGTGCAGACTTAGAAAAACCAAATGGTAATTCATTTCAATTTCATTTAATCCAAATTGATCAAATTAAAACACAAGTGCTTTGCAATGGCTTTTAAAGAAAGAAACCCTCTCAAGTCTGGGTGTTCTCCGTGCTTTCATTTTCCCTAAAATGCTGCGTGTGAGCAAGGTGTAAATATTATCAGATGTATTTTTGGTGTTCCTTGTGTGCTGGTGAGGGGCTGTGGAGGATGAATGCTGACAGTGGATTTCTGCTGTGTGTTCCAGGCTATAACCCCCTGTCTGGAGAAGGAGGAGGGACGTGCTCCTGGAGGCCCGGCCGGCGGGGCCCCTCAGCAGGTGGATGAGGCTAACACCCCTAGTGTCCCCTGGCACTAGCAGGCTTGATCCCACCCCCTGTCCCACTGCCTGCAGCTGGCCTGTCACAGTGTCACAGGCACTCCTTTGGGGCTGGCTTAGTGCACTTGTTAACTTCCAACAGTTTTTTGTTTGGTTGATTTACGCCGTTCCCAAATTGTAACGCAGTGGCTGATCCTAAACCAGAAAAATTGCTGATCCTCTTGGAGAGGGCAGAGGGAGAAGCAATTTCAGCACAATCAGTTAGTTTTCACTCTTCTGTGGAGAGGGAGTGTAGTCTCCAGCCAAGGTGAAGTACCTGGGATTGTGAGATCTGGGCTTTCTGGCAAATTTAGTTATCTGTGCTCACTTTACCTCTGTAAGGTGAGGATATTTACCATCCTCAGACATTTCACCAGATCTACCTTCCAGCTAAACACAGTCATTTAGAGAAGAAGGATGTTATCATTGGCAGACACCTTGAATTCAGGCAGAGGGACTTCCAGAAAAAACACAGGTGATCTGACAAACGCCACGGATTTGCACCAAAGGCCAGTTACTGCAGAAGAGTCTCTGTGACAAGCCAGCTTGAATGATGTTTTCCTTATAAATGGTAAAAAAACCAGTGAGGATTACTGATGCTAGACAGCAGACAGGGGGGTTCTTGCTATTCCTTTTTTTTTTCTTTTTTTTTTTTATTTCAACTGCTTTGTAAAAACAATACACTATTACTATTAAATATAATTGCAAACATCATAAATCCAGTATTTACAATCTCGTGGTTTTCTACAGCATCTTTTTTATGGAAGGCACTTGTTCTAGTGTAATAAATGTGTATAAAGGTGGGAGATGAAGTGACCCTGCTGCAGCTTGTGCAGCACCAGAGCTGAGGCTGGTGTGTGCTGAGGAGAGCTCTGGCCAGTGAAGGTGTCACTCTGGCAAGTGAGGGGTGCAAGGAGTGTGTGGTGTTCATCTCTCTGGTGTATGTCCAGCCCTGAGGACACAAAACAACTGGCCATCATAACCAAACTTTCCAAGCACCCCATCCCCTTCTCTGAAATGCAACAGACAAAATCCAGGTTGTCTTTGGAGAGGAGTGAAATAATTCCTGTTGGCATAGGACAAGTGTTTCTGTGTCCAGTTGCTGCTCCTGGGCTGCTCTGTGGGCATTGGGGTAGGGAGCAGTGGTTCCTTAGAGCTGTGGGCTTTTTGAGCACTTGTTTCTGAATATTTCCTCTGGGAATACTTGTGCTTATCAATAGATACAAGTGTCAACTTTGATTACACTGTTTATATGCATGTTGATATTTCTCTTGGTTAGAAATGCAGCAGGAGGGTGTTATTAGGGAGTTTTAGAGTTGGTAATGAAATTGAAATGTGTTTTAGACACAACAAAGTGTTTGGTCACATGTGTGTGGAAGGTGAAGCGAGGCTGTTGATGTTCCTGTGGAAATTCCTTCAGAGCCAGTGTATGGAACTTCAGGTTTTAATTCTTCATAAGGCAAAAAGAAATAGAGGTGGGGGAGGATATTTTCAAGATCTGAAGTCTTCCTCAGGAAAGAGGACTAAGTTGTCATGCCTTAGGGAACATCTTCTCCCTTCTTTTGGGGAAACAGGCAACAGACTGAGGTGTTGTCTTCAGAAAAACAGATGGGGGAGATTGTTGTCTTAAAGAAGCAGAAATCCCTGTGTGATAAAATGGTCAGGGATGGGTTTGTTTAATTCAGTAAAAACATTTGCAAAATAAATAAGCAGGTCTTAACTGAGCATATGCTAATCTTTCTCTGTGTTTCAAGACTTGCTTCTGGCTAGGACTAGGGGTATGGCTTTTTGCCCAATTCTAAAGTTTAATAAGACATGTCAAGTGAAAATTAAATTAAGTACATATTTCTGGAAGCTTTTTTCTCCTTTTTTTTTTTTAAATTTTAATCCTCAAGTTCCTGGATTTTTCTTAGTCAGACACTTCTAAGCCATTGAACAGGGTGGGAGGACAAACCTCAGTTCATAAAACTTTTCTTTTGGCTCACAAGCTGCACAAGAGGGAAGGGTTTTTCCTCTGACTTCAAATGGAAAGCTCTCCCCTGACCACAAGCATTATGGAAAGGTGGTTGCTTGCTGCTTTATAGCTCAGGAGTGAAGCATGCAGAAAGCATTAGGTGAAAGTGAACTATTTAATGAATCCATTGTTCCTGGTTTGGTATGAATTCCCAAGAACTTGAATTATGAAAGATCATATTAAAAAGCCTTCAGGAGATTTTTTTTTCCCCCCACTAGAGCAGTTATGCAAGAAACATCTTGCTTTACTCATGCAGATGTTCTGGAAATACCTCTATCTGGAAGAAGCTGGGTAATAAACTATTTACCTGCTGTATAATGGTATTTAAACACTGAAGAATAATCTGTTCTGGGTATTAAAAAATCCAAAAATCAAGCAATCGTTTAGGGCCACAAAAGATGTTATGTGCTTGAGAAGTGCAGCTAAGTATTTTTTGTTGCTTTTAGATGATTTCTATGCTGGAGGAGCAGAGGTTTTTGTTTTCTTTAAATTGCAGATGAGATCTGGTTTGTGCATAGCTCTCTTAACTATTCATCAGGAGATCCTGAGCACTGGAGTTAAAACTGAACAAAACAACCCACGATGTCAGACTCATAAAAATTATTTGGCTTTATTTGTGCCTTTAAAAAACATTGTGAAATGAGGGAAATTTTAAGAGTGATATTGCATATTTGGGTGTTCAAAAAAATATGTTTCTTATGCTGGAAATTTTTAATAACAAACAGAAGAGGGAGTTGGGGGAGTGAGGGCAATGGGGGAGTCTGTCAGCAGAGCTGTTCCCAGGTGTTCCAGAGTTATCTGTGTCTCAATCAAAGACCAATGTGAATGAGAATTATAATTGCACCTGTATCTGCAAGGAACTGCTGTCCTTGCAAAATCTGGGTGCAGGTGTGAAATGCCAGTACTGACAAATCTCATCTGCTGTGTTTTATGCAGCTCTGTGCTATTCAGACTCAAATCAAGGAGCTGGGCTGTGCTGCAGTGCCTCTCTGCTCAGTTCAGGTGTTTAGATTGGGGTTTTTCTGGGGGATTGTGTCTTATTCCCCTCCCTAGAAGATGACTTTGCATTCCAGAGCTCTGTGAAGGGGGATGGCATCCAGCCTGAGTCTCTGCACATTTTACCAGCAGCCCTGTTGTTGCTGGCTGCACTTAAACCCCTCTAATGCTGTTCTTTCTGCCTCCTGCTCGAGCAGGCAGCTCCCTTCTTGTGCAGCCGGGTCCTTGCAAGCCTGGCTGCACATCAGCACACTCCTCAGCATCAGATCCACCTTCTGCATGAATTTTGCTCTTATACAGGCTAAAAAGTGGCACCTTTTCAGGGATCAGTTTAGCCACAGGTGGAGCTCAGAGTATTTCTGTCCATGCTATAGCTGAACAGTGAAACTATGCAATTTCCAGCTGTAAAAAAAAAGCTGGTCTAGACTCGGATGGGCTGAAGCTTTGGGTTTTTCTTTTTTTTTCTGTTTTTTTTTTAATTTTATTTTTTTCCCCCCTCCCTCCTGTGTGGAATGAAAGCTTGGCTTTTGGAACAGCTCTGCAACCACAAAGGAAAAGCACAGGGCTGCTGGCTGGGTGGTGTCCTGGCCCGGCTGCACTGCTGTAGCTGATTTTTGTGAGAGCTTCCAAGGCAGCCTGACACACACCCTGCCCATACTCCCAGCTCCAGAGCCAGCGACTTCAAAACCTTCTGTTGGTTTTTTTTTTTTTTCAAGAGAAACTGATGTCTTCAGTGGAATAGGTGCCCTCAGCTCAGCTTTGGTGGGGAAAATACAAATTTCGTGTTGAAGGTTTCTGTGGCAAGGTGCTGGCAGGGAGGCAGGTGCTGTTCTCGTGAATTGATTGCTGTGATTTTATTTTGAAGTGCACACCTGCTAAAAAGCACTTTCAGCACACAGAGCAAGCTCTCCACTGGTAAATTTACAATTTCACTCCTCCCTCTACCGTAGATTCTTTCTGTGTGGTGGTTACTGAGCTGAGCTTGATCTGTGGATAACAGTCGTGGAGGGAGGCAGGAAAAAGAACTTAGAAAATTTTATTTAAAAAATAAAATTTAAAATTTAAATTTATTATTTAAAGAGAATGGAGGGGAAATGGACATCCTGAAATACCTGGCATTTAAATCTACTTCTAGTACCCTGCATTAAAATGGGAAGTTACTGTCAGCTTGGCCTAAAAGATGCACTTTGAAAAAAACAAAAAAACAGATTGTACAGCTTTGTCACATACAGGGAGGGGGCAACACTGCCTGTGAATTCCATTTCTTAGGTAATGTAATTGCCACTTCTTTAGCAGTTCTGCTTTTTAGGCTCTGACATCTCGATGCTCACTTTTTAAACACACATCCTGGGCTTTTCCAGCGCGTTCTTAACTCGGGTCTGGCAGCACCACCGAGTTAAAAACGCACCAGTCCCGCGGCCACACCTGGCAGCGCTGCTCCTGCCACCAGCCGGGTGACACCCGGAGGATCGGCAGGAGCCTGAGGAGCTGCCTGGGCAGCAGGAGGGTTTTTTTCCACGGCATTCCCGATCCGCGGTCCGGGAAGGCGAGCGCGCTGCGCTGCGGGGCCGCGCCGGGCGATGGCAATGTCGGGCCGGCGCTGGGACCTGGGAGTCACCGGGGAGCTGAGCCTGGCAGGAGCGGAATAGGATGGGGAGGGAAGAAAAAAAAAAAGGAAAAAAAAAAAAAAGGAAAAAAAAAGTGGGTGCTGGAGCTGAGAAAGGAGTTTCCGCATCATTTGGGAAAATGCAGCCGTGCTGGAAATATTGTGACAGAGACGAATGGTACTGGTTGCCCAGTGAGATTTTTTCCACCGTGAGTCTGTTACATTGAATATATGAAGTATGCTCATTTTCCAGTGCCTGGGCAGTTTTTAAAGTATAAGTTTGAGTACTGGAACATTCATAATTAAAGTTTCTGGAGCATTTGGGGAGTAGTTCACTTCTGTAACTATTATTTTAAAATGTGGTAAAGAATGTATGTTATAGAAGCTAAATTCTGCAAGTGTTGGAGTGGGCTCACTGGAGATCAAATCAGTGGGAAAAAGAAGTGGTAATAATTCAAGACAGTCCTTTCCTCTAATGGACAAAGTCTCCAATGTGGAAGAAACTTTTTTCATTTGGTATTCAGGTTCTTTATTCCAAAAGGATGACATTTATTCTGTATGCACACACACACACAGAGGCAGCTCGAGGGCTTGGCTTTTCCATTGTTTAAAAACAGGATTACTGTTTTGTTAATCTGATTATGAATCTAAACCATGTGAGCCTGTCAAGTGGGCTCTCGCCGGCTGGGCCGGGTGCTAATCTCGCTGCAGGGAGTGGGGTGGGAGCGTGGGGATGAGCACACACCATCAGCATCCTCTGCAGATTTTGGAGAGCCCTGGGAACACCTCCTCCAGCCACCCCGCAAGGAATTGAAAACATGCTGCATAAAAATGTGTCTATGCTTGTAGACTGTGTTACAAAAGAAAAATATCACACCTTTGAATATATGGTAACCATGATATATAGTGACAACTATTGAGACCAAGAGCTGTATTAATAGGGAATGGCATTAAATGTGATTATGCAGTATGACCTTTTGCTGCCATCCAGAATAAAAATACACTCTAGGCAGGTAACAGTATTATAATTCCACTGGAAGAACTAAGCCATGCTCTTCAGGTTTTCCCTAAATCTGCTTTTCCCCCTTTTTTTCTAGCAGCT